ATCACAGGTGTACATTACCACATGCGGCTCATTCTTTTTAAAACTATTACATGTTTTACTCCATCTAATTAAAAAATTTTAAAGATGGAGTCTTACATAGCCCAGGCTGGCCTTGAACTCCCTATGTAGCTGAGAATGAACCTGAACTTCTGACTTTCCTGATCATAGGCATGAGCCACAAGCCCAGTTTTGATGATGCTGGCAATGGAACCTGGGCTTTGTGTGTGGAAGCCATGCACTCTGTTGACTGAGGTTTTTGTGAAGCTTGAAGGCCAGACAAGCTGGGTTCTGTACGGTGTCTACCTGGATCACGCTAGGCTGAGTCAGAGTCTAAGCTACCGTCATTCCTGAAGACTATCTCAGTGTGAAGCATTCTTCTTAAAATTACTCTCTCAAAACACAGGACAGCAAAAGCTACACTTACCTTTAATCATGTTTGCGATGGGAAGCCACTTCTCTTTCAGTGGGTCATAGAACTCGGCCTCTTCTGCAGGGGCGCCTTTTCTGTAACCGCCCAGCGCGTACACACAGCCCCCCAGGGTGACCGCACAGTGGTAATACCTGGCATTGAGCATCGGCAAGCCTTCTGTCCACTCATCACCTTCGCTGTTATAGATCCACACTGTGTCAAGAGCGTCTATGTTATCTGTCCTGTACCCTCCGGTCACATAGATGTTGGGCCCTAAGCATGTGACACCATAACTCTCCCTGGTATAATCTGGTATTTCTGCTCCCTGGATCCACACATTTGTCAGAGGATCCCATATGTGGACCTCTGATAAGGGATGCCAGTAATAGCCTCCAATAATGTACATGGTGGCTGTGGACCTCTGGGAGATCTCTTTATGCATGGGATTCAAGGCATTGTATATCAGGGAACGGATCTTATTTTCTGTTAAGAGAGAGCTTCTTTGGAGGCCTAACGCTGTCTTTAAGTACACCGGGTCTATATCTAGGTTGATATAGCTCAATAGGTTGTATAGGCATTTGAGCCTGTTCTCTACGTCATGAGCAGTCCACTTAATGACTGGTTCCAGGATAGCTTCTTCCTTCCAGACACTGAGGTTCTTTCTGGACAAGATAAAGAGAAACTTTTCAAGGCTGATTTCCAGAAATTCTTCTTGTTGCCACACTTCCTTAAACCTCGAGCACAGAATTCTTCGAGACTCCTTCTCTAGTTCTGAGCACACATGGAATTCTGCAAAGGAGTGCATCCCAATACAGTTATCAATATCCAGGTGCCTGACCAAAAACTGCTCGCAAGCCTTCTTTACTGAGAGGAACTGCAGCAGATCGGCTGCTTCCAGAAGGCTCTGCACATTTCTCTTAGTTATTTCAATTTGGGAAGTATACGCATAATTTACGAGGCCTTCCAAAATATCATGGTGGATGCCCGGCAGTTTGATTTTACTTTTAAATTTTTCTTTCATGTCAGCTGTGAACATGGCCTTAAAATAATTGCTGCAGGCAGCTAAGACGGCCCGATGGCAATGGAAGATTATGCCTGAAGGACACTGAAGGGTAATATCGGTAAACAATCCGTCCACGTAAAACGTTCTGAACGCATCCAGAAAATCCACTGGATGCGACGAATCCTTGAAAAGATAAATGTAATCTTCTTGTCCTTTTAGAGCCATGGCTGCAATAAATATAAACAGACACGTCTTCAGTTTTGTGTATTACCTCCAATAATTAACGTTAAATATTCCAATCATCAGACATTGATGGCACCAGGCATAATTCCAAAATTCAGCCGCCCAAACACCATACGCAAAAATGGACTGAACTGTTTATACGACGATGGTCTGCCTAAATTCAGGATAGCTTGGAGCCCTGAATGTGGCCCCTGGATTTTTTTTTCGGTTGTCCATCTGTTAAGAGATACTGGCATTATTACCCCTGGTCACCCAATTTCTGCACTGTCCCAGCCTGGCAGTTCCTGGGAGTCCACAAGCCAAGGGTCCGAGGGGGTCAGCCCGGCGCAGCCCGGCTCCAATTCAGCGTTTTATTATTATTATTTTTTCTCTCTCTCGGTTTCAAATCACAACCAAGATGGAGAGAATCTCAGCAAAGGGGATCTCTGCCCCCTGCCGCTTGCTGACAGCACAAGAGCGGCCGGGCCCGATCTGGGTCCTCCAGCCCGCGCTGCCGCCAGGGCCCGGCCCGCGTTCCCGCCGGGAGAGCGCCCCGCCCCGGGGCCCGGCGCCGGGATTCGCCGATGCCGTTGGCCGGTGCCCGCGGCCTCTGCCCGGCCGGGTGCGCAAGTGTGGACGCCCCCGCGGCGCCCAGGCGCCCGCGCCGCGCGGCCATTGTCTGGCGCCCAGGCGCGCGGGGGCCCGGGGGCGGCGCGGTCCGTTCGCCCCTCCGGCCGGCCTGGGGCCGATCGGCTCCGACCTACCTCGCTGGCGGCGAGGGACGCGGCCCCGGACTAGCGACCGGCGCGGGTGGGGGCGCCTCCCGACCCTCTGACCATGTCTGGGGGCGCGCGGCGGAGGCCGGCCGCTAGTGCAGCTCCAGCCCGCGAGCCGCCCCCGCCTCCGCCCGCAGCCCCGGCGCCGCGGCCCCGGCGCCCGCAGCAGGTGGGCCGCGTCCGCGGGTCAGCCCCGCTCCCGCTCGCGCGCGCACGCCCATCGCAACCGCCCTGCGCCTGGCTGTACCCAGTTAACGCCCGGGGGAGTGCGCACGCCGCGTACCTTCCCTCCTTCCAGAGCTCTTGCCAGCCCTGGCCCGTGGGGGTGCGGGGAGAGAGAAAGTGCCGAGAGAAGGCGGCGAAACTGAGGTCTCCTCGGATTAGGGCTGCTTTCAAAAGCCACAAGTAGCCGCTTTCCCACGAACTCCACGCTGCCTCCAAGCAGAGCGCGCAGGAAGGAGCCTTGGGGCAGCTTAGCACACCAGCAGTTAACCTGGAAGCTTCCAGGAAAAGTGGGGGTAGCCTGGGTCAAGGCTGAGTCCGGGCACTAAGATTCATATTATTGTGTTTAGAACACAAGCAGCTGGAAGGGGCAGCCTCCAGCCTGCTGGTGATGGCCATTTGTGCTACACAGAAAGCCCGCTTTCTTATATGCAGCGAAAGCTACTGTCAAGTGCTTTTAATCAGCAAGATTTTTAATAACTTGGGAGCACCTCATAAGCCTGGAAGTCGTGATCAGGTTTGAAGGATGGTCCGTGGCTGTCATGGAGCTAACTGGAAGACAGGAATGAACCCAGCACCAGAGAGCGAAGGTGATTCTTAAAAGTCAGAATGAAAGAGTATACAGATACACAATGGCCATACCTTACATGATGGGCGAACTCTGAGACGGCAAAGAAGTGCAGAAAGCCAGATCACAATCTCCGCTGAAATTGCACCGGACAACCAGGAAGCCAACTTCAGTTTCTACTTCCAATTCAGGACCAACCAGGGAAATATAAATATGTCAAAACCGATCTCACGTGTTTGCAGCCCACCCCCGGCTTTCCCAGCCAACAGCCTCCAATCAGATATCTGGGGTGGCGGAGGTGGAGGCTGCTACTGCCCCTCCTCCTCGCTTCTTTTTCGTCTATTTTTATACACCCTTCTCATGTCCCTGCCTGCTTTGAGCCTCTGGGAAGGACAGGGGTGATGACTGGCCCGCTTGCCAAGCGAACTCTGAGCAAATACATGCTTGTTCTCCTTTGAGTGGTTGTAGTTTAATTCTACATCCTAGGTTTGATTCCGGGGTGCTGTTGTGTAGAACCTCACAACCCCCGCCCCAGATGTCAGAAATCTTCATTCTGTTCAAGAGCACCAAGTGATTCTTGGGGGGGGGGGGAGACCCGAAAGGTTTACCATCCCAGAGTCTGATCAACAATTCAACACCGCAGCAAGAAAGCGAAGGAGATTTCGATTGGGGGCCTAACATTCATTCTGTCACTTGCTTAACATACAGCCTTGAGCAAGCTACTAAAACACACATACGGGGGTGGGGGGGGGGTAAGTTTTTAAAATGTATTTGTGTGTGCGTACATCACCTGTGGGCAGAGCCTGTTGAGACCAGAAGAGAGAGAGCATTGGATCTCCTAGAACCAGAGTTACAAAGACTGTGAGCTGCCATGTGACTACTGGGAACCAAACCCCGGCCCTCTGCAATTGCAACCAGTGCTCGAAACCCCCGAACCATCTGTCCCGACATCCCACGTCCTATTCCTAACTTGTAGAATGGTAACAGTATATGATCAATAACTCTTGAATAGAAAGGTTCACTATGCTCTCATTTTTGCCGATTGTTATAGGAACCAATTAAAACTTTCGCTTCCAAGCTATTGGTGATGCCATAATCCTCTAATCCTAGCAGAGCAGGCTGAGGCAGGAGGATCCCAAATTTGAGGCCACCCCACAGGAAACAGCAAGACCCTGTCTCAAAACAAAGCGCAATTTTTGCTTGCAGGGTCTCATGCTCCCTAGTTCTGAATTATTGCTTTAGAATGTTGTTACCTGAGGCCTTAGAATGTTACCTGAGGCTAGGGGTAGAGCCCGACGGCTAACGTTGCTTGCCTCACAAACAGGAGCCAGAACCGGAGTTCAGCTCCCACATCTCACATGAAAAGCAGGTGCTGGCAATGGCAGCACCGCCATGCAGAGGAACTGGACTCTTAGGACAAGCCAGTCTCAAAGGAGAGACACTGTTTCAAAAAACAGGACAGACAGTGCCTGAGGAACAGCTCGGAAGGCTGACCTTGGGCCTCTGTGCACGAGCACATCATGTGTTGGTCAGCCTCCTCACGCCAAGAAAGCGACCCAGGGGCGTACTGCAGGAGTTGTTACTTTTCACCCAGTGCTTTATCAGAGAGACCTCCGTTGTTTATTTTCCAGCAGGGGAGACAACAAACCCACCAAACAAAAGCCAAAGAGACCACTGCAAAAGTGAGTGGGTCTGATACATTCCAGAGACCTAAAGTAGGTAATGAAAGAAAACAGGCCATCCAGGAGTCCGCACCTTACCAACCAGAGATGAGTCTAAATGATGCTTACCGATACTGAACTTGGCATAGAGTCGACAATGTGTTGACATATTTCACCTTCCGTAGGAATCCTGGTTCCTAAACATAATTATTTTTACCTCGTTAACACATCAGTAAGCATAGCCTTGCCATTAAATGCTAGATAAGCTAATTGTGGTATCCTTATCAGCATGAGTGGGTGGTAGGTAAAGAAAGAAATTTTTATATACTTCATTTACATACTGGATTGAACAGGTTGTTACTGAGTAGAATAATATAATTTCATAAGGCTCTTGCATACAGATATATAAGTTGTACACTAATTCCAGCTCAAGTTACTAAAAAAAAAAAAGTTCAAAGTGTACAGTGTAATCAGAAATTGTACAGTGTTTGGCTGTCGTGTTCTGGAGCTGACATGTCTTGGTAAGCCCTCCTCTGGTGTCCTTCCTATAAAATAAGAAAGTGAGCCGGGCAGGGGTGGCAAACACCTTTAATCTCAGCACTCCAGAGACAGAAGCAGGAGGCTTTCTGGGTTCAAGGCCAGCCTGGTCTACAAATAAGTTCCAGGACGCCAGGGCTACACAGAGAAACCCTATCAAAAAAAAAAAAAAAAAAAAAAAAAGACAGTGAACATTATGGGGCTGAAGAGATGGCTTAGAAAAGTGCTATGGCACAAACCTCATGACCTGAGCTTACATCATTAGCGTTAAAAACCTGGCCCAGCCAGGCACGGTGGCACACACCTTTAATTCCAGCAATTGATGGAGGGCTGGGAGGGAGGCAGAAGGATCTCAGTGAATTTGAGGCCAGCCTGGTCTATATAGTGAGTTCAAGGACAGCCAGGGCTACAAAGAGACCCTGTCTCAAAGAAACGGAATAAAACCAAAAATATAACAGCAAAAATGGACACAATGCCAGCACTGGAGAGGCAAAGACAGCTTAGCCAAATTGGGGAACTCTAGGTCCTCGAGACCTTGTTTCAAAAATAAGGTAGAGAGCAATTAAGGAAAAGGCCTGACATTAGCCTCGACCTCCACACAGAGGGCAGATAGGGGCACACATTCCCTCCCACATATACAAAGGGATCATTCTAATGGCAAATAGTTTTGCAAGTCAAGGGTGTCATGTTTGGTTTTTAGTTGTCAACTTTTCATGAACTAGAATTACTTGGGAAGAGAGGGTTTTCTGTTTTGTTTTGTTTGCTTTTGTGAATGCTTGAGACAGGGTCTCGCCAGACCAGGCTGGCCGTGAACTCACAGAGATCCGCTTGCCTCTCCTGGCACTAACAGTGTGAGCACTAAGCCTGGCTCCAGGTAAGTATGGTTATTTTGATTAATAATACAAGGAAGTACTACTTGGTATTGTGCAGTACATGTATGAACATGTCCCCTTAAGTCAAGCTGAAAGTTCTAGGAAGGAGCCTGGGAAGGTGACTCAGCAGTTAGGAGCTCTGGCTGCTCTTCCAGAGGCCCTGGGTTAGGTTTCCGACACCCACATCGTGGTTCCCAATCATCCATAACGCCATTTCTAGGAAATAAGATTCTCATTTCTGAACTCTCTAGGCACCAGGGTACACGTGGCACACTTATACACATGCTGGCAAAAAACCACTCATACACAAGAGAACCTAAAATAAGCAAACCTTAAAAAAAAAAAAAAAAAGATTTTTCTCTGGAGGGCCTTAATCTTTGTAAGACATTCTGACACTCCTCCTGCTTTCATTGGCTATCCCTTGGTAAGTATCCAGGAAGTATTTGATAAATGACACCTGAAGCAGCAATAGACTATTTTCTAGATTTAAACATGAAATGAACTGTCAATAGTTTTCTTGGTGAATACACTTTCCTATTAAATTTGCCTGTAATCTCAACATTGAGGCAGGAGACTCTTGAATTTCAGGTTAGCCTGGACTACAAAGTAAGATACTGTCTCAAAATTATTTTTTAAAAAAGTTTGGAGCTGGGGAGATGGCTCAGTAGGTAACAGCACTTGCCCTGCAAACATGAGGACCAGGGTTCGAATCCCCAGGGCCCATGAAAAAGCCAGGCAAGGCTGCAGGGTCCCAGCCAGCACTGGACTGGGATGGCAGGCAGATCCTAATAGCTCATTGGCCAGCAGGCCTAGCTCAAATGGCAAGTTTCCAGGTCAGTGAGAGGCAGCAAGGCATATGGTGGTGGAGCAGAACTCCCACACCCTGTCCTGACCTGTGCATGGGCCCATGTGTGCCACACATACTCATGTGCATGCACCCCGTCCCCAACACACACACAGTGTATGTCCATATTGAACCAAGGATAAAATGTTATTTGAAACTAGTTGAAAAAAAATTGTGATTTTAGTATTGTAACAAAATGCAGAATACAGAGCCCTGACGATGGCCCAGCCATCAGAGGCTGTAGTGACAGTTCTGGATTTTTGGTTTCTTTAAAATAACATGGAAATATTGCTGGTTTCCTTGATTCACACCTGTAATCCCAGCACTTAGGGAGGCAGAGGCAGGCGGATCTCTGTGAGTTCGAGGCCAGCCTGGTCTACAAGGTGAGTCCAGGACAGCCAGGGCTACACAGAGAAACCCTGTCTCAAAAAACCAAAGCAAGGGGCTGGAGAGATGGCTCAGCGGTTAAGAACACTTGCTGTTCTTCCAAAGGTCCTAAGTTCAATTCCCAGTCAACCACATGGTAGCTCAGAACCATCTATAGTAAGATCTGGTGTTCAGGCAGAATGTTGTATAAATAATAAATAAATCTTAAAACAAAACAAAACAAAAGAACGGAACTATTATAAGAATGTGCCACTTCAAAGCAGTTGACTATGGTTTGCCTCGTGCTCTAGCAGAGCCATGGTTTTTGCCAGCTGCAGAAAGTTTCTGTGATTGTGTGACATTTGGTATTCTGGGAACTTTTCAGAGAGTATATCAATGCTAGAGCCCCGACAGGCAGAGTCGGTGGTTGTTGGTTGTTTAAGGGGTTGGTTGTGATTTGTTCGTAGTTGTGCTCAAAGAAGCAAGAAGAAAAAGATTAGATTCAGGGATCTCCCTCTGTCTCTGTCTCTCTCTCCCCTGTCCCCTTCGTTCTCTCCTATCTAGCGATGAGAAGTGACAGCAGGGGTAGACGCACACTGCGGCATGAACACACAGGAGCATATATACACCCCCAAGTATATAAATATAAATTTAAGAGATGCCAGACTGTGGCTATGGAGTGTTAGAAAAAGTGAATGAAAGCCAGGCGGTGGCAGCGCACACCTTTGATCTCAGCACTCAGAGGCAGAGGCAGGTGAATCTGAGTTCGAGGCCAGCCTGGTCTACAGAGTGATTCCAGGACAGCCACTGCTGCACAGAGAAACCCTGTCTCAGAAGAAAAGAAAAGAAGAAAAAGAAAGGTGAACAAACGAGATTTTCATTTTACATTGATTATAAACTCCTATGTAGCAACCGGTATTTAGCTTCATAAATATTTTGCTAGTTGTTTACATATAGAGCTGAAAATCTATCACTTAAATATAAAAGAGAAACTAACTTTTCTTCCTAAGTAACATTTTCCATAAACAATGGGAGACTCCAAGAATTTTTTGTGTTAAGAAACAGCCATGATAATATTTTGTTTCCATATGAACCATCATCACACAGACAGCACTTTGTATAACATAAACAAGAATAGATTTAGCTCTTGGCTCAGAATAAATTATCCCATTAACCTTCACAGAACACATCTAAAAATGTCTACAGCAGAGCTAGAGCAGCCAGGGAGAGAAAGATACCCGAATGAGTATGGGTAAAAGTGTTTGCTCTGTTCATTACTGTGTAACTATATGTCCCTTCATCTTCTTAGATACATAAAAGGATTCCTTCTCCTGTGTTCTGAAAGGCAGTCTATCTCACACTGAGTAAGGAAGTTGCTTCCAAATCCAGGCATACTCACATACTGTTAACAGAATGCTGTATCCATTCAGTGGCTCCCTGTAGATACCTTATTGCTCTTAGCTGATGTCCTTTGAAGTGGTGTGTATGAGATGTTAAAGGGAAATCTTTAACTAGTCCCCCAAAGCTAGTTTCAACAAGGAGAACAAAATGTACATACTGTAAAATTAATGCATATGTGGGCAGGACAGAAATAGTTTTGGGAAAAGTACACTAGAGCTATAATTAAAGCTTGTAATACAAATGGCCTTAAATGGCATATTAAAAAAAAAAAAAAAAAAGGCGGTGTAGGGGCTGGAGGGATGGCTCGGCAGTTAAGGGCCCTGGTTTGTCTTCCAGAGCACCCAGGTTGGATTCCCAATACCCACATGGTGGTTCACAACTACCTGTAACCGCAGTTCCAGTGTATCTGATATCTCATCTGGCCCCCGAGGGCATCAACAATTAGAAAAATATAAAACTAATTTTTTTCTACCTTATCAGATCATGATGGCCTATGAGAGACCATCATTTTCCCTTATGAACATAGAAAAAAAAAAAACCTCAATAAAATACTTCAAATCGAATTTAACAACATATTTAAAAGAACATTCACATCCTGTGATTGATTAACTTGGTTTTATTTCAAAGATACAATGATAGTTCAACATATCTGTACCCTACATTATGCTGAATTGCAAAACCTTTTTAAGTTTCTTCAAAATGAACGAAAAGGTCTACTTTCTCCACTCTGCCTCAATATAGTGCCTGAATTCTTAGCAACGGCAGTAAGAGAAAGAAAGTGATGCAGATATAATATGGAGACATCAAAGCTTCCCTATATTTAAACAAAATCCTAAAAATTCCACCTGAAAATTCTTAGATCTAACAAACACTTTCAGAAATTTATCAGATACAAAATCAGTAGGTTTTTTTTTAAATGCTAATATGCTGAGAAAGAAATCAGAAAAAGTTCTATTCAAACACACACACACACACACACACACACACACACACACACACACACACACATGACACATGCCTTTAATCCCAGCACTAAGTGGGCAGAGGCAGGCGCTGTGAGTTTGTAAGACCTGGGGTCTCACAGCTCAGGAGTTCAAGATCGCGCCCTTCCCAGAAACTCCCCCAGACCAAGACTCGTTGCAAAAGCAAGAGGTTTATTAACCATTGCGCAATGGGG